AATAATGAAATGAGTTATCAGACTGACCTGCTGTTAGATCTTATTTAGCACCTTCAAAAAGAACACCTATATGGGCACCAACATTACATCACAACCTTTTCTTGTGATATTTTTTTTTTTTTAATTTTTTTTTTCTTGTGATATTTTGACAATGTTATTTTATCATCACTAATTTCCATTATGGAGCAATGTATTTCAGACTTATGCATTTCATAATAGGTGGAAGAAAAATGGTAAAATTTTAAAACAGAATGAATGAGTGTCACTAGACTATCAAAGGAATCCATTATAAAAAAAATAATCAGGTTTTAAAGCTTCAGTAAAGAAGTCTGTGTGAGATAAAATAATGAGGATGAAGAAGGAGGAATAAAAATAAATTTTTGGTAAGGGAAGATAGATGGCTATCATTTTTAAAAACAGATAACAAAAACTGCTTCTCTCCCAACTCTTTGAAGTCTGTCTTAACTGCCTTAACGTGTGTGGCTTTTGTATGGAGAGAGAGAGAGAGAGAAGACCTTGGCGAGGGCTCCTTGATTCCCTTTTTCCTAGAGAGGGGGCTAAAGAAATTGCCCAGTGGATGCTGGGCACCTTGGGGACTGGCCATCACCTACTAACCATCTCTGTAGAAAAAGAAAAACCTCAAGACAGTCAGCTTGAGGTAATCTACTCAGGATAACTATTCTGATTGCAAAACAGCATAGAAGTTGGAGTTAGAAAATTTGAGTTTAAGTCATAGTTCTGCTACTAAATGAGTAATTAACTAACCTCTCTAAGCCTATTTTCTCAGCTGTGAAATGAGACTATCAACATCATAAAATGATTATAAAATATTAGATAATGTACATAAAAGCATACTTCTAGGTGTAAAGTGTTAAAACAATTGCTATTCTTCTTTCCGGAAAAATATACCTGGTTATAAATCAAGAAAAAGAAAATAAATGGATGGTGGCCTTTAAATTTGTAGTAGTTTGTAGTTCAGTTACAAATATATCATGAAGGCAAAAATGAACAAACAAATCCCTAGAAAGAGGTTCAACTTTAGGGTTAGGGAAGGGGAATAAACATATGCATGTCATTGAAATAGAGCAATTAATTATACATACACACATACACACACACATCTTTGAATATGAACAGTTCAAATTCAGTGATAAATAAATACATGCCATTATCAGTAAATTGGAGCTATATGTATTATTACTCCCGAATTTAGAAATATGATAAAAAAAACCCTAGTCACAGAAGCAAATAAGCCTGAAATTTTCTTTTGTACCTATAGAAAACTTTACAGTTTTACTTATAGACTAATATATAATTGAGAAGACTGTGTACTAAATCCCTCAGTGCATTAAAACTTTTCCAAGATAGTAAAGTTTTGTAATGGTGTACAACATCTTTATATAAGCAGTTACCATCTATATCTCAAAGCTGGTGGATTCCTAAGGCTGACCTTTGGTTAATTTAGTTAGCAACCAAATGCTTTTCCCCATAGTACCACATTGTATACTATGCATCAGAGAGCTGGACAGTGACTAGGGATGATAGAAAGAGAATTGATGCCTTAGAGCTGTGGTGCTGGAGAAGAGTGTTCAATATACCATGGACTGCTAGGAGAACAAACAGGTTCATCCTGGAGAGGGTGAAGCCAAGCTGCTCCTTGTTAAGGATTGTGAAGCTTCATCTGACATACTTTGGACATGTTGTAAGGAGGGACCAGTCCTTAGAGAGAGACATCACGTTTGGGAGAGTGGAAGGACAGTGCAAGAAAGGAAGACCCTCGGTGAGATGGATTGATTTAGTGGCTGGGGTGGCAGAAGTAGATGTGTCGGAGACAGTGAGGTTGGCACAGGATAGAGCAGGATTTAGTGCTCTTGTACATAGTGTCGCTATGAGTTGCAAGCGACTGGATGGCAAATAACAACAACAACCACCACCACATTTTAGGAGGATGGAGGAACAGTGCAAGAGAGGAAGACCCTCTATGAGATGGATTGATTCAGTGACTGGAGTAATGAGGGTGGGAGTGTCAGAGACAATAAGATTGGCATAGGATAGAGCAGGGTTTAGAGCTGTTGTACATAATAGGGTCGCTATGAGAGCAGGTGACACGATGGCACATAACAACAATGACAACATTTTAGACAAAGGAAAATCCAAAAAATGAGAATTTGTAATTAGATCTTACCTATGCAGTCCTGGTGATGTAGTTGTCTATATGTTGGGCTACCAACTGAAAGACTGGCTGTTTGAATCCACCAGCTGTTCCTGATGAAAGATTGAGTCTGAGATGCCCCGTGGAAGGTCATTTTGAGTCAAAATTGACTTGAGAATTATGGGGTTTTGTCTTTCCTAAACTGTCGGAGTGGCACAGTGGTTAAAACGCTTGTCTGCTAACCAAATCAGTCAGTACAATGTACCAGCCACTATGTAGGGGAAAGATGTGGCAGTCTGCTTCTATTAAGATTCCAGCCTTGGAAACCCCATGGGACAGTTTTACTCAACTCTTTGGGTCACTATGAGTTAGAGTAGGCTTGATGGCAATGAGTTTGCTGGGTTTTTTTGTTTATATCTTACATGTAGCATGGTTGGTTCTCATTAACCATACAGGTTAGCTACTACTACCAGGTAGCTAGGCGAGGCTATTATTTGGAGAGGGACATCATATCTGGAAAGATGGAAGGTCAGCAACAGAGAGGAAGACTCTCAATGAGATGGATTGAAATGGTGACGTCAGCTATTGGCTCTAGTATGTTAGAGATAATAAGGATGGCACAGGACAGGGAGGGTTCAGCCTGATTGAGAGGAAGACTCTCAATGAGATGGATTGAAATGGTGACGTCAGCTATTGGCTCTAGTATGTTAGAGATAATAAGGATGGCACAGGACAGGGAGGGTTCAGCCTGATTGTTCACAGGGTTCTTATGAGTCACACATGACTCAACAATATCGAACAAGTATTATCGAATCCATGATCAAGCCTAGAATGGTGTTAAGAACACTTCCACTTCCTTAGTCCTATTTCTCTGTTCATCAAAGGTTTATGATTGTCTACAGCTAGTCTTTTTCTTGGATTCTATCTCTATTCATTGCTTTTAAAAGGGAGAGCCATGTAAAAATGATAAAGACACTCGGCATCTGTTACTTAGTAAATTAGCAATCTGGTAACTTGATATTTTTATTTGCTCAGTGTGATTTAATTCTCCAGACTCTGACTGAATTAATGAAAACTTTTTCTAACCCTGTGACGTTGAAAACCAGCAGTGAAGGAAGTAAGATCTAAACACCCACAAGCCTCTGAGGGGTAACATTAATCAGAGGTTTATTTCAGAAATCTAAAACAAAGGGAAACTTTTTTTTGTGGGTGGAAATGAAGAAAAAATAAATCTCTAATTAAAAAAACTAAGTTACTGCTGTTCAGTGGGAACCCACTCACAAACGACCTCCCAGAGGTGTTTCGAGGCTATAAATTGGCTGCGAGGAGGAGATTGCAACCTATCATTTTTTCCGCAGAAGAGCTGGGCTGGTAGGTTGTACTTAGAAACCAGCAACAATTTCAGATAGGAGTTAGAGCCCTGAAATGCCCAGTTTCTATAACTGAATGAGTGGGAGATGAATGGGTAATCTCCTCACCTGCGATTAAATGCCTCTTAAAATCCACTAGTGGGTCAGCTATGGGTTGGTTAGTCTCTGACATAGAAGAACAACCTACTAAATTAAGTTGGTTCTTAAATCACAGCAAATGCTTTGATAAAGCCAGTGTTTTTATTTACTAAGCATTCCAGAGAGAAGTGTTTTGTAAACAACTTGAATAACCATTTCAAAGATACTTCTTGGATCTTTGGATAAGATCAGATCTTTGGATAAAATAAAGTGTTTTACTGTTTGACTTACAGAAATGCTACTGAAAGCATTTTTAGGTTTATAGATTCCGATCTATGACGTTCATCTTAATATAACACCATAGGATCTGAAATGCAAGTATACCCTTAGAGATCACCTTATCCAACCTGAAATTCAAATCTTTTGAGTATTGGCTCAATTACAAAGTACGTCCGTATCAGAAAACAGGTTCAAATTATTTTTAAGCAAGACTGGCAAAATATTGGATTCTCACATTTATGTGAACAAAAAACCCTAGGTTCTTAAAGGGGGTTAGTGTGATTTTAAGAAATCACTGTTTATCCCTTTCTAGCCACTCCTGTGCGATCTGGGAGGTGGAAAGTCAACACATCGAGGCTTCGCTTCATGTTAAGAATTCACAATCTCACTCACGATCCAGAAGCCTCACAGCACCCATATAAACTAGTTTTTCTCACTTTGAGAGAAAAATCCTTGTTACAGAAGAAATTGGTTTCTTTGGTGGAGCCTAGTCTTGTCCGAAAGAAGCCCCAACTCTTAGCCCGTTTCTGGTCCTCCAAGAGGCTCTGGCTATCCGTGGCGTTAGGCACGTGGTGCCTAGGGGACAGGGGACGCGACCCCCGCCCTGGGATCCCCTCGGATAAAAAGTGACCCCGACGTGGGCACACCAACCCCCACGAAGGGCCCCTCCTGTGAAGTTAGAGACTCGATGAGCCGTAAGGAATCGCTCAGTTCATTGAACAGGCCCTTCTCCCCCCCAGGTCCTCAGAGGCCCGCCTCTCTTCAGGGGTCCGGTACCCTCCAGGGGGCGGTGACTGACAACGCTCGGGGAGCGATAAACGGCTCCCTAAGCCGCTCGCTGGGTCCCTCTCTCCCCACAATGCACCGGGGCCACAGGAAGGCCGCTTCGACCCCTAATTTTCCCGCGAATTCAGTTCAAAGAGGCGGCCGGGCCCGCGATCGGCAGCGCGCACGGGCCAACCAAGCCGGGCCTCCAGGAGAAGCGCCTCCGCGTGACTGACGGGAGAATCCGCGGGCCAACGAGCGGGGCGGCCGGGCGGCGCGCGCTCCCGCTGTCCAACCAGAGCTCCGGGCGGGGGAAGTGGGCGGAGCGAGGCCAGGGTAGGGTGAGCGGCCTCGGGAGCCGAGTGGGGCTGTGAGGAGGAGACACTTTTTTTTTTTTTAACCTCCCTCCTTCCCTCCTCTCCTCCTCCCTTCCCTTCCCCTCTCCTCCCCTCTCTCCTCCTTCCCCCCTCGGTCCGCCGGAGCCTGCTGGGGCGAGCGGTTTGTATCGCAGGCGCTTACTCTCCGGGGCCGCCCGGCGGGTAGCTGGCGGGGGGAGGAGGCAGGAACCGCGATGGCGCCTCAGAAGCACGGCGGTGGGGGAGGGGGCGGCTCGGGGCCCAGCGCGGGGTCCGGGGGAGGCGGCTTCGGGGGTTCGGCGGCGGTGGCGGCGGCGACCGCTTCGGGCGGCAAATCCGGCGGCGGGGGCTGTGGAGGCGGTGGCAGTTACTCGGCCTCCTCGTCGTCTTCCGCGGCGGCAGCGGCTGGGGCCGCCGTGTTACCGGTGAAGAAGCCGAAAATGGAGCACGTCCAGGCTGACCACGAGCTTTTCCTACAGGCCTTTGAGAGTGAGTGTGTAGGGGGCTTTGAGGGCAGGGGTCTCCCCCTTTGCCAACCTTGGGGGACGGGACACTCCTCTCGGGCCCCCCTTCCTCCCCGGGAGCCCACTTGCTTCGGGAGCGGAGGGAGAAATCCCCGTTTAGGGTTTGCGCCTTAGGGGATCCGAAGTCTAGGGCCTTTTCGGGGGGTGGGATCGGGGGTCCGGGGCAGGTTTTTGATTCCTTGGCGGCCCCGGGCAGGAGGTCAGCCAGAGGGGCCCTCCGGCTCCGAGCAGAGCAGGCTGCTTTTCGGAGAGGTTTACAGTTGGAACTGAGGATGCAGGCAAATCCCCAAGATGAGTTCTTGTTTTCTTTCATGCCTTTCGGAGTCCAGAAGTACTAGGATTTCGGTTGTAGGTTTTCAGAAGCAAAATTAAGCCCAGGAAGGGGTCAGTGTCGTAAAACCGGCCAAATTGTCATCAGTTGGAAATAGCTTCGCACTAACTTGACGCTGCATGGGAACATGGCACCTTCAGGTGCCTGGCCGGGGGAGCCCCTTAGCAGCCCATTGCGCGGGTGCCGAAACTGAGACGCGGCGCGCTGGACCGCCTCCCAGCGCCCGAGACAGCTCCGCGCTCCAGCCCCTGGGCTTGCTTTCATTCCCGAGCCTGTCCTTTTTTTGTCCATTTCTGTCTTTTAAGGTCCCTTGCAGGACGAAACTTGTTTTGCAAAGGGGCGCACGGGGTCTATGCAACAAACAATGGAACTTATAAAAACAGCGTGATTTTAAAGAAATGCTAAGTGCTGTTTAGTAATGTTCTAGCCTCATTGTTTACCTTTTTGACTTTCGTATGGGTGCTTGCTTTGGGCGATCGCTAAGAGCGAAATATCTTACATAAACTTGAATAATCCCGGCCCTACCACTGGCTGTCTTTATTTACAATTTTACCGTGGCATATGTTAAGGACATGGTATCAGCTGTGCTTGTAAAGACGTATTACATTGTTTAATACCCTTCTTTCATTCTCTCTCGTTAGTGCTTCATGAAATTCTAATTGGAATTTTGTAGAGGAAATTTTCGTTTTTAGTAAAATGAATATGAACCTCCTTGAGAGAGAGGTATTCACATTTTTCTTTTCTCATAATTTATTTTCAGAAATCTAGAGCAGCTCTAATTGAGAATAATGGTGAAGATCTATGACAGACAATAAATAACATGTTTCTAAACCTTCCTTAAAGATTCCATCTCCTATTAATTTTAAATTTAAACTAAATGAGGATTGGATGGGAATTTTGAAAATTGTGTATACGTGTTATGAGAAGACATCCTTATAGAAAGTTTTAACTGTTTACTTTATGATGAGTCTACCTTAAAAAAGTCACCTGTCACTGTGAGCTAGAGATGACCACAGACTTGATTCTTCTCTAATATTGATCTTTTTCAAGGACATATAATTATGTATTGATATTGCTGCCTTCTTAGTTACACTAATGGCTCATTAATCTAACTGGTACTAATATTGGTATATACATATTGGTGTATGTATGGAAAATATTTTCATCTGAATCCTAAGATCATGCTAGCAAATTAAACTTTCAGTACTCAGCATAAAGAATACTTTGACAGTCAGCTGCTTTAAAAATGTGTTGAGATAGTATTCACATAATGAAGCAAGATAGATAAAAATTTAAGCTTCATTTAGGAATAGTCACTGAAAGTTCTAGCTAAAGTAAAAATGTATTTCTAAATGTCTTCAGTAGTTGAGTTAACATTTGTAGTAGAACATAATGGAAAAGTTACAATGCATTTTGGCTATTTGGATACTGAAAAATCAATTAAAAAGTTAAAATTTTCACCTGTAGGACATCAAATAATTGTTTTGCCGACTGACTACTTTTAGCTGCTTTTTGAAAGGAGATAGTTTATAGTTATTGTTCTTTTATTCTATGTGCACATTAGTTCAAACAATAGATACCTCAGAAACATAAGATTTAAGAACAAAACTAGAGAATTTATATTTAAAATTTAGATGAATTTTATGGGTTTATGTCATAAATAGAATGTGTTTTCATCTTACAGTGTGTATTACGTTTCTGGATGTAATTAGTACATAATTTCAGTAACAGGTGATGGGTTTATAATGGTGATAACACAGGCTAGGTTGGTATTTTCCTGGCAAATTGAATGATAAGTAAATTTAGATAATGTTTGGATTTTGTTCCTTGTTACCTAGAACCAACGCAGATCTATAGATTTCTTCGAACTCGAAATCTTATAGCGGTAAGTAATTGAATCCAACAGTATAATGTTTTTTTTCCTTACAACTTCATTGTTACTTAATTTTAATACTTTTCAAAATCTTTTTCTATAGCCAATATTTTTGCACAGAACTCTTACTTACATGTCTCATCGAAACTCCAGAACAAACATCAAAAGGTAAATCTAATCTTATCTCATACCTATCTAAGCATGTTAAAATTTTGTTTTAAAAGACTGTTTCTAATTAAAGATTAATTATGAAAACTGAGATGTAAGAGTGATTGAATTAATTGCAAAATGATTTTGATGTTGCTTTTATAAGTCCTAGATTATTATGATGTTTTTTCCGTGTAGAAAATTTAGTGGTAGAATGAATGCTTTTTTTTCTTACTAGTATTTAGCAGTTCTTAAGTGTCAAAAGGGAGCTTTGGTGATACAGTCCAAAGACTACTTCTTTATGGAGGTTTGAATTCACCAGTTGAACTGAGGAAGAAGGATGAGCAGTATCCTCACATGCTGTTTACAGCTTAGGAAACACAGTGGAGCTCTGAATTCTGTTGACTCCATTGCAGTGGGTTCAGTTAAGTGTCAGCAGTTAGCTTCTGTAATGATTGATTCAGAAAGTCTCGTTTGATATTTCTGGTCATTAGAAATACTCTTAAAGTTAATAAGATGTTTTGTATTTTTTTTTTTAATGAGACATACTAAAGTGGAATATGTAGTGGTGCTTAATATGGAATGTCAGTTTTCTGTCCTAGATTCATGATTGTTTTTATTGAGCATATCAGATGAACAAGTTGAAATTTAAAGGAGAGAATTTTTTGCATTCAGATTTGGTGTTATTTTGTAATTAAGCTTTTCTTTAAAGACTAAACTACTTTAGATGTTCTTAGTGATTATTTAAGTTGGCATCACTTTTTGTAGTATGACATAGTTGAGCTTCGTAGATGTATCTCACTTGTGTATTTTGAAAGAATGAAATGCTGAAACTCCTCAAGTCTTTCTGAATCTAGAGAAAGGGCATTGCATTTAATATGTAAAACTTGCCAAGCACTTAAATAATTAGGGACGAGGTGATGAATTAGGCAACAGAATTAAATTTGTCAGCTCTTTAATTGTGTGCTCCATTATTTGATCTGTACTAAGGATTAGCAAAATTTTTCTGCATAGAGGACCAACTAGTAAAAATATATTACAGTTGGTGAGCCAGGAGCAAAATTGAGGATGCTGTGTAGATAACAAAAGAAAATAAATGTCCACAAGTTTTTTATTGATAACATTCAAAGTGTAAGAATAATAGCATTTTTTGTGATACAGTTCTACCAAGTATGAAGTGTGAGTTCTTTATGGCTCTTGTTGTTGGTTTTTTGTTTGTTTTTTTCTTTAAAAAAGCATAATGAGTGAGAAGGAGGTAACATTTCCATTAATTGGTAGGAGCTTCTTGGAAGGTAAAAAGTAAACATTTATTAGGAAGTTAGATCCCAAAGGGATGGATCCTCTCTCCTTGAAAGGAAATATGGAGGAGAGTCCCTTAATTGTTTTTTAAGGTTAACATTTTCTATGTTTAAGTTCATTGCTATGAAGTTGGAATCAACTCGTAAGTTATCTTCTAATACAGTTTCTGAGGCTGTAAATTGAGAGGAAGGAAACTGCCTGTCTTTTTCCCACAGAGACACTACTGGATTCAATGAGAGGCATGGCCTTTGGATTTTAGTCCACTGGACTGTAAATATATCTTATCTGTAAAAACCACTTTTATTTATATTTTATACTAGTTTATTTACAAAATTCAAATCATTGTTTTTTACACCAGATCCTTCTCATTTCCCTTACCTCCCCCCCCCCGGGAAAAAACTCCCCATTTTTAGATCAGGGGTTTTACAAAAACATAGATTGATTGGAACCTTAGTCCACATGGTGTTAGTGTTCAGACTTTTAATTAATAATTATATAATTTGATTTGGTGGTTCACTTTTTCTTTAAAATGTTTTTAATATGGATTAGAGTTAAATTATTATTTCTGTTACTAAATTATTTTAAATTTAAAATCAAGTTATTTTTAAAAGTTCACCTATAATTGAATTAAACATACATTAGTTAAAAATCTACATTTGTTTAAAATCTAAGTTCATGATTTTCCTATCATTTTATTAGACTGTTTATCTCATTGTGGGGTACAGTTCCTTTTCTGCAAGTGAGCATGGCAGTTTTAAAAGCTTAGTATTAGAAACGGATTTTCTTAATTATCGTTTGTGTAGTTACAGCATTAAATTTTTAAGCAATTTATCAGCTCCCCAAAATACGTAAATCTCATAGGTTGCATAATTTTGTCATCTACCTGGTCTTTATAATAAGATTATGCTTCTAATGAATTACACCATAACTTTTAGACTTAAGTGAATGATGTCCACTTCAGAGTTGATGCCTTTGATAGCACATTTAGCCCAACAGATATGTCATTTATTCAGGATGCTTTTGAAACTTCTTTTTCAGTATTTAAATAATATAATAGCCATTTTGTCCCTCCCTTTGTCATATGTGTGCAGTTGTATATAATATTTTTATTTGTTGAACTCCACTAGCATGCTAGTCTCATTTTACAGACTTTTAAATGCTATGGACTAACACTGTGCTGACATACAATAAGAGAAATCTTTTATTTAATCTGTTTTACTAGATTTTGTGTGAATTTTTTAATTCTTTCGAGTAAATGTTTTAAAAATTGCTGGAATTCTTGAAATAGCCTCTTTTTTGATGACCTTTCATGATGATTAAGTACTAGGCAATGCAAACTGTTCTGAGAAGATATGACAATCTACTTGTTTAAAGATACAGTCAACAATAGAAATCCTATGGAGAAGTTTCACTCTTGCCCTTTGGGCCCTTGTGAGTCAGAACTGACTTGACAGCAGTAGTTTTTTTAATAACTATTTCCTTGGTGGCATAGTGCATTACTTAGTAGGATGCCATCTGAACAGTCTACCATTCAGATCCAACAACCAGTCTGCAAGGGAAAAGGTTCTCCTCCTGTCAAGATTTACAACCTTAGAATCAAAGGGCATTATGAGTTGGAATCAACTTAATGGCAGTGGGTTTTAGGTTGTTTCTTTTATCCTTAAAGAAAAGAAACACTTGGTATTGGGAGTTTTTCTGTTGTTTCTTAATGATATTTTGTTTTTTCCTAAGGAAAGCATGGTAGCCTTATGATCTCATCTATTTTCAAATGATTGTTAATACTTAATTCTATGCATGATTTAATTATGTTGGAAGAGATGAACCTTAAGATTTATAGTCTTGGTTTTCTTGTTACAAATAGAATTTCTAATCATTACATAAATGTAGACATTATTCTTAGAAGTTTCCAATAGCTTCCCAGAAATCCTAGATCCTTTCAGATTTATGCTGAAAACTTGCTGTAACTAGCAAGTAAGAGTCCTGCATTTTTCTTCTTTCTTCTCTTTTATCCATGGATATTGAAAATATATTGCCATATTTCTTTTTTTTTTTTTTTGCCATTTTTCATGAAATACTTCTTCCTAAGATCTACTGGATAAAATTTAATACTGAAGTTTTTTTAATTTTGAAGGTAAAGAAAGAGCTTTTTTTAAAAAAATTTATTTTTTGTGTGAGTATACCATCAAATCAGATCTGACTGGCACAGGAGGAGATTGTCCCTCTTCCCGGCAGAGCATCTGATGGATTCGAACCCTGTGCCTCTGGGATTGTAGTTGCACCTCCTTGCCACTAGGCCACCACAGCTCCCCAGAGAAGAGAGAAGCTTTCTAACACATGATCTTTTGTTAAGAGATTTTGTTCTCATTTACCTGGAACATAAATTGCATCCATTCTTCTCTTCCTATAAGTTACTGTCATGTATTTACATTAACATTTCTTGTTGGTATTTTTTATTATAGTAGCTGATTACAATATCTGTTTTTGAGAAATGAGCAAATAGTAATTTCTGGTATCTGTATTCAAATTTTATGAGTAATAACACAAACTGTACTTAGCTTTTTAAAGTCTTAAATTTATAGAAACCATATTCGTATAAAAAATGGTTTCTAATTAATTACTTTTATCCACTTAATAAGTTAAAAGCTAGTATTTAATTTTGATTGCTGTGTATGTCCCTTAAACTTCAAGACCTTTTCATGATAATAACACCTATCTCTTTAATATGATCTAGCGTTTAACTTTAGGCTTTGGAAATAAGTCTGAGTATGCCTTACGAAGTTCAGACACATTTGTAAAATAATAGTATTTATATGATGGTCACAGTTTGTATTTATTAGGTTACTTGAATAGAGTATAAAAGTTTCAAAATAATATGTAATTGGCATTTGTCATTTGTTTTGCTCGGTTTAATAGATGCTTAAATACCTCCTGAGTGCAAGGCATTATGCCTTGCACCACATGATTTTCTTTGAAGAAAAACAATTTCTGCCCTTCTGGAACTTATCATCTAGTAGAAGAAATGAAATAATAGTACACCTTTTATATATATATATATGTAGGCTATTTAGAAAGAGTCATTTTGGGTTGAGAATAATTACAAAAGATTTCATAGAAACCTTTGAACTTGAAGATTTAACTACCACAATGTAACATAGTTTCTAAACTTGCTACTCAAAATTTTTCTTCTTAAAAATAATAAAAATCTGTTTTCTATCTTATCTACTGCAGTGACACAATTGTTTGTTTTTCCCAGTTGAGAAGTGATTATTTTATTTATGTTTCTTCCAGGAAAACATTTAAAGTTGATGATATGTTAACAAAAGTAGAGAAAATGAAAGGAGAACAAGAATCTCATAGGTAAGATAACTTACCAGTCCACATCAAGTAATATAACTGAGGAGAGAAAAAATTATAGTCATCATTTCCCCAATGATCACCTTGCTGTAAGGAGTTAAAAGGAAACTTAGAACTCTTCTTGGTCCAAACTTATATATATAGATCAGCAATTTCTTTTATAGCATTCCTGGAAGAGTCCTTAAGCCTCAACTTGAATACTTGCAATGCAAGTGTACTGCTTTTTCTTGCTAGTTTCTTCTATTTTGAATAAAAAAATGCAGTTGGTTTTAATCCTACAACTAAGGAGAAATGAAGACTCACAGTTATGATAAACTTAATGTGGTACTGGATGCCTTGGCAGGTGTTTGACAGCATCACATCTCTTCTAAGTAATCATCTTAAAATGAGAGAGGTTCTCTTTTTATGTATCTTTCCTTCTCATTTTAATGTCTGAGGCAAAATATTCTCAGCTTTATATTAGGAAAGTACTTTCTTGTGTGATAGTTTCATAAACTTGAACGTTTAGACAGTTAGAACTTTCTGTTGGTTTTAAATGTGATATATACAACCCTTACGTCTTCTGATTAGCCTAATAGCTGCATCATCTAGACATTTTATTCTTCCATTTGTTCTTTGATATGTGTGTACTAAAGAAAATTGAATACTGTGCTAAATAAAAACAGGCACTTGAATGGTATGTTTACTGACTCTTTCTAGGGAGAATGCAGAAACATGCTGTATATTAATGAAGTTTTCCAAATAGTCAAGATGAATTTCCCATGAAGTTTGTTATGGTTGGGTCTCCTTTTTCCCTTGAGGGTTTTTTGTTTGTTTGTTTGTTGTTTTTTTTTTTGATAGTGCAACCAGGGTGCTCTTTATCATTGTTTTTAAAACTGGTATTTTAGGAGAGCTCTGGTGGCCTAGTGGCAAGGAGCTGCAACTACAATTCCAGAGGCAAACGGTTCGAATCCACCAGATGCTCTGCCGGGGAAGGAGGGACAATCTCCTCCTGTACCAGTCAGATCTGATTTGACGGTACACGCACACAAAAATAATAAAAAATTAAAAAAAAAAACAACCCCCCCCAAAAAAACCCTGGTATTTTAACAAAAGTTTACAGAAAACTTGGATTTCCATTCATTTACTCTTGCACATTTTCCTCCCTTCCATCTCCTCAGCTCACTTTTCTCTTTAAAAAGATTCTTCATTTTTTGCACAACTTTCTCCTTCCCCTGTCCTCCAGTCCATTTTACTGTGCCACTCTTATTCTAACTGTTGTCATGCAGATAATACCTCATCATATGTTCCTTTTAGACAGTTCTTTTCCTCATCTGTTTCAATGCAATGTTCATTATTTATCCCCTCTTTTCTTAGTTTTCCTCTAACCCTCATGTTAGCCCTGTTTTTTAACGGTAGCACTACATAGTATTTGCCCTTTTATGACTGAGATATTTCACTCAGCGTAGTGACCTCCAGGGTCACCCATTTTGTATAATATTTAATGAGTTGCTTGTTTTCCAGTGCTGCGTACTATTCCATTGTGTGAATATACGACAGCTTCTCTAGCCATACATTTTTTTAATGATCACTTGAGCTGCTTCTATCTCCTTGCTATTGTGAACAGTGAAGCAATAAACATGGGTGTGTGTATATATCTGTTTGGGTGGCAGTTGTGGTTTTTTTATTCCTTGAGGTTTTAAATCACATTTTACTAGTTTAACTAAGACTTGATACTGGATTAATAATATTTCCTTTTTAGTTCCTTATTGAAACAGTAGCTGGTGTAATAATTTTTGCATTAATTTATATTTTAAATATTACTTTGAGTTACATGATTTTGTCTTTTGAGTTGTAAAATTGCATTTTTTAATAGTTGAGATCCCAAATCTTTACTTGATTTCCACTGTTTAAGAAGTGTGTTACAAGAAAGGACTGAGTATACTCCCAGTGAATATATATTCTGTTCTTTGCTTGAATTTCTGTTTCAAATTCTTTCCTGGTTTTTTGCACTAGACAGAAGTCTTAAGGTCCTCATGGCCTTTTTTTACCTAGATTTTAATTATAGTCAGCCTTCTTTAACATCCTGTTTATTTTCTCCTGACCACTTCATTAGTTTACCTTCCATACTTTTCAGGATCCAAATGAGAAGAATGAGTCAAGAAAATTTAATCTTCTCATCAAAGTTCTCTTTTATTGCTGCTAAAATGTACTGCTATCTTGTGGTGACATTGTTACTGTTATGTTCTATTGAGTTGGAATCAATTCATAGCGATCCTGCAGCAGGTGTTTAGAGGCAGTAAATCATACAACAAGAGATTGCCCATCTTTCTTCTGCAGAGCAGCTAGTGGATTTGAACCATGTGCCTTTGAATTGGTAGCTACTCAGCTACCAGAGCTCCCTCATAGTGACATTGTTGTTGTTATTGTTGTTATGTGCCATCGAGTCACTTGGGACTCATAGTGACCCTATGTACAACAGCCCTAAACTCTTGCTCTGTCCTGTGCCAATCGCACTGTCTCTGACACTCCCATCCTGATTATCCCAGTCACTGAATCAGTCCACGTCATAGAGGGCCTTCCCCTCCTGCGCTGTCCACACTCCCAAGCATGATGTCCTTCTCCAAGGACCGGTCTCTCCTCACAACATGTCCAAAGTATGTTAGACGGAGCCTCAGAATCCTTGCCCCCAAGGAGCCACCCGGTTTAACCCTTTCCAGGATTAATCTGTTTTCCTAGCAGTCCATGGTACCCTCAATACTCTTCTCCAGCACCACAGCTCAAAGGCATCAATGCTCCTCTGTCCTCCTTGGTCATTGTCCAACTCTCTGATGCATAACAAGTGGTAGCAAAGACCATGGCCCGTATCAGATGCACCTTAGTCTCCAGAGAGACAGCATTGCTCTTCAGTACTTTGGAGAGGTCCCTAACAGCAGACTTTCCCATGACAATACGCCTTTTAATTTACAGGTAGTCAGTTGTAATTTTTTGAGCCAGTTTTTTTGATCCTTAGGATCCAGTTAGGATCCGTGTGTTGGCCATATCAACCTCCAAAATTGTCTGTGCTTCAATTGTGTTGCTCTTAGAAGCACTGAAATAAATTGAGAGATTCGTACCCCAATGTTGAGGTGCATCAGTGTCTTACCTGAATTTGAGCATTTTTATATTGACATCACAGTGTGGTTAGAAGTAACCCTAAAGAATGATATAGGAGCTCTGGTGGCCTTGTGGCAGGGAAGCTGCACTGCAATCCCAAAGGCGTTCAGTTCGAATCCACCAGATGCTCTGATGGAGAAGGAGGGGCAAAGTCCTGTGCCGGTCGGATCCGATTTGACAGTACACAACAAGAAAAGAAATAAAAAAAAAAAGAAAAGAAATAATGTCAACACTAATACAGTTTTATAAATTCTGTTGTTAATTAATTAAGAGAAAACAAAATCTTGATTACTTTAAGACATTAATTAGACTGAAAAGCTTACATGTAAAACAGTATCTTTGTTGCTCCTGGTTTCTTTTTCTTTACCATATCCGATTTAGTGATCTCATTTCATTTTGAATGGATCCTGAGCCTATTCAGTGTTGTCATTTGGGAGACTTGCAGTAGAACTTACGTATTTTCAGTTGTTGTTGTTGTTGTTGTTATGTGCCGTCTAGTCGTTTGCGACTCATAGCGACCTATGTACAACAGCCCTAAACCGTGCTCTATCCTGTGCCAATCTCGTTGCCTCTGACACACGCATCCCAATTACCCCAGTCACTGAATCAATCCACCTCATAGAGGGTCTTCCCCTCCTGCGCTGTCCTTCCACTCTACCCAGCATGATGTCCCTCTCTAAAGACCTGTCTCTCCTTAACAACATCTCCAAAGTATGTCAGATGAAGCCCCAGAATCCTTGCCTCCAGGGAGCAGCCTGGTTTAACCCTCTCTACGATGAATCTGTTTTCTTGGCAGTCCATGGTACATTCAATACTCTTCTCCAGCACCACAGCTCAAAGGCATCAATTCTCCTTCTATCTTCCCTAGTCATTGTCCAATTCTCTGATGCATAACAAGTGATTGCAAAAACCATGGCCTGTATCAGGCGCACCTTAGTCTCCAGTGCTTAGAATATTTCCATTTTCAAATCCTGTGTAGTGTATTCCCCCAAAATATTTTATACATACACAGTAACAGTGTTAAAGTCCTAAAAACTAATTATGACTTACATTGGCTTACAAACTAAGTCAGATTCACAGCATTATCAAAAAAGACGCTAATGTTCAATAGTTGTCTATACATTTTGTAATTTATTTATTTGCAGTTATTACAGAGAATTGTAGACTTTTTTCCTTGTGTACTGCTGATTTGAACTACATACCTTCAGAATTGCCCGTGCAGGAGAATTGTAGACTTTCAATGAGGGCAAGAAGCTGATAGGAAAAGAAAAACATGGGACATTCCATTTTTAATTCTCTAAAGTATTGGTTAGCTTATGACAGCACACCAGAATTGTCATAGTTTTAACCTTGAAATTCGAGACTAAAGCCAGCTCTCTATGCGTGGTTGCTTTGGTTTTTTGTTTTGGCAAAGTGGCTTCTCGAAACTCCAAAGTATTTAGCAAATTTTAAGAACTTTGTAGTGGTGACATTCCAAGTTCTTGGGTTTTTTCTGATGCTTGTTTCTGCTTTCTTGGGATAATTATATTTAAAGAGCTCTGGTAGCATAGTCCATAAAGAATTGTGCTCCTAATCCCAAGGCAGCATGGTTCAAATCCACCAGCTCCTTTGAGGGGAAAAAAGACAGGCTTTTGCCTCCTATTGTTGTTGTTATTGTTAGGTGCTGTCGCATTGAGTACAACCCATAGCAACACCATAAACAAAAGATCTCAACCCTGTTCTATCTTGTGACATCTTCACACTTTGTAACACATAAGAATCCATTGCAGCAGTCACAGTGTCAATCCATCTGTGTAAGGATTTTCCTTTTTTTTTTCTCCTATTATAGCCTTGGAAACACAGTGGGGAGTCTATGAATGATAACTAAC